CCCTCCCCATCCTCTCCTTCCCCCTCCTCTCTCTCTCCCATCCTCTCTCTCCCCCATCCTCTCCTTCCCCATCCTCTCTTCCCCCCTCCTCTCCCTCCCCCTCCTCTTCGTACTTCTCTTTCTCTCTCAATAACGTTATACTTGTGATAGAAATCGTCATTCACATTATCATTACACAATCGGTTCAAGGCAAAAGAAAATTTGTCTACTCTTCATTCAAAATAGTTTTCCAACGTTTGGCTAAAATGTTCCTTTTTCTTCTGGTACTACTGAAATAGAAGCAACAAAAATGTAGTTTCTTAGGAGACTCTTGGGAATATCATGAAAGTGACAGAAATCAAATTAGGCAGTGCTTGATGAAGCCCACGTGGGACGCTCACTGTTAAAAACAATAAGGAAACGACAAAGGCAGTTTTGGGACACCTGAATAGACATGGAGGTCTTGAACCTCTAGCTCTCATTGACAAAATTGACGGCAAACGAGGCAGGAGTAGGCCCAGAACAACATACTTAAGGAACCTAAACAAATGGGTAACGGGGAAAGATCAGGGAAACGTAGCTTTTTTAACAGCATACGAACAAACTTCGTTTCTATGCTTCTGTTTTGAGAGGTATCTCTTTTAAAAAAATATATCTTTCGGTCTTTTATTCACTTGTGAATTTATTATTCTGCATGAACCAATTTTAAAAAATAAAAAACCTCTACTTTGGAAAATGGGTATCACGACCCCCCCCCTCCCCCCCCCCAATTTAAAAAGATTTTTTTTTAAAATCAACACAAAACCAAAGTACGGTCACAGAAACAGAATATGACTAGCTGGGCCCCCTTTCGATGAAAGGAATGATCGGTGCTTTAATATCAACTAAAAGTCATTGGCCTACTATATTTACACTCTACTGGAAAGGGACAATAAATCTTGAGAGATGCAAAAAATTAGGTCTAGATCTATACTCTCAAAACAAAATGCGCCTCGCGAAATATCACTTCCGGATTTTCTAAAATTATAGAGACAGAAGCGTCGGCCTACAAAAGCGATCGGCGAAATAAAGAAATTTAGCTTTTTGCAGCAAAACTGTCTGAAAACTGAAAAAACGAAGAGTGCCATGATCTGGGGAATATTTTAAAGAATATTTTGGCGAAAACCGCATGTCGATCGATGCAGCCATTAAAAAGCCTTTTGAATAGCAAAACTCGGCCACCACAAATAGATGATAGAAACAGAAGCCTCCCCACTTTCCCCTCAATAAAACTTAGTTTCGGAAAAACAGAACACGTAAGGACTTCCCCAGAAACAAAGCTGATGAAGGTTACAACAGTCGTTTATGTTTTTTGATTTTTTAAATAATTACGAGACAAACTTCTTATATACTTTCTTAACAAATGTATCTCTGTATTTTTTTTCAGAATTCCTGTTCAAGCGTTGGGTCATATACGGCGTAAAGATGATGTCTTTCACCATTGTTTTCTTGTTCGAATAAAATGTTTACACAAATCTATACAAGAAACTTGACTGTTGTGTGCATTGCTTGTTCATTCTTCGTCTTTTTCTCTTATCAACTCTTTGGGGACGTACCGACATATATTTCCCATCAGCAGCAGACCAAAGTCACTGCTGCGAGATATTGGGAACCCCCTTACACAGACCAGAATCCGGAAAGATAATACCTCATAGAGTATATGTCATGTTGTTCACTGGCTGGCTTTTTAAAGTTTCAGACAAAGAAAACAGAACTGAAAAATCTGTATGAACAAAAAAGTTTTGTCTCAAAACAGCAAGTCTTCACAAACAATGCCAAATGATCAGAATGTGCGTCTTCAATGAGTTAATTAGTGTGCTCATGTCTGTAATAATATAAAGTTGTTGTTTTTGTAACTGGCTCATGCATACGTACATGAATTAATGCAGGCATCAATTATACTCACTAATGAAAAAGTATTATACAAAAACAAAAAGACTCGCTTACATGTGTATACACGTACACTTACGGGCCCAGTGAGAGAGACAGAGACAGAGAGAGAGAGAGGGAGACAGAGAGAGAGAGAGAGAGAGAGAGAGAGAGAGAGAGAGAGAAAGAGAAGAAAGAGAGAGAGAAAGAGAGAGAGA